TTGATTATTGTCAAATTTGTTTACGTCTTTGAAAAAAGAAATTAGAAATAAAGGCAAAATACAAAATTCCCTCGAGTTGGGCGCTGTTTTATCATCCTGTCTGTCGTGTATCGTTTTCATAAAGATGTAATCCTAAAAAATATTGTAAAAATGTCAATATTTTCCTCTTACACACAGACAAACAATAGTTTTGAAACAAATCAACTGGTTCATAAATGCAGAAACTCTCGTCTGTCAGGGGTAAATATTAATTCAAATTAAGAACTATTTAATGCAAATTAAGGCTGTCGTCTGTCTTTGGTATTAAAAACATAAACTTTAAAAAACCCACTCTTTGAAGAATATTATTAATATTAATATTAAAAAAATAATGTTCAAAAACCCAGGACTTGTAAAAATTTGTTTAAGACTTAAAAAAATAATATTGCAAACATTTTTTAAGATTAAACAAAATTTAAAAAACCCATGGTTCGAAAAAAAATTTTTTAAGACTTAAAAAATCAATTTTTATAAAGCCATAGCGTACAAAGAAAATTTGTAAGACTTAAAAAAATAATATTTATAAAACCCAAGCCTCGAATTATTTTTTTATTACTTAAAAAAATCCAAGCCTTGTCTAAGGCCTTTTCAAAAAAATACTTTAAAAAATACACGCCTTGGCTAAAGCGTTTTTAAAAAAATACTTTAAAAAATCCACGCCTTGTCTAAAGCGTTTTTAAAAAAATACTTTAAAAAATCCACGCCTTATCTAAAGCGTTTTTAAAAAATACTTTAAAAAATCCACGCCTTGTCTAAGGCCTTTTCAAAAAAATACTTCAAAAAATCCACGCATTGTCTAAGGCCTTTTCAAAAAAATACTTTAAAAAATCCACGCCTTATCTAAAGCGTTTTTAAAAAATACTTTAAAAAATCCACGCCTTATCTAAAGCGTTTTTAAAAAATACTTTAAAAAATCCGCGCCTTGTCTGAGGCCTTTTCAAAAAAATACTTCAAAAAATCCACGCCTTGTCTAAGGCCTTTTCAAAAAAATACTTTAAAAAATCCACGCCTTGTCTAAGGCCTTTTCAAAAAAAATTTTAAAAAATCCGCGCCTTGTCTGAGGCCTTTTCAAAAAAATACTTCAAAAAATCCACGCCTTGGTAAGGCCTTTTCAAAAAAATACTTTAAAAAATCCACGCCTTGTCTAAGGCCTTTTCAAAAAAATACTTTAAAAAATCCACGCCTTGTCTAAGGCCTTTTCAAAAAAATACTTTAAAAAATCCGAAAAATACTTTAAAAAATCCCCGCCTTATCTAAGGCCTTTTCAAAAAAATACTTTAAAAAATCCACGCCTTGTGTAATGCCTTTTCAAAAAAAATACTTTAAAAAATCCAAGCCTTGTCTAATGCCTTTTCAAAAATATTCTTTAAAAAATCCACGTCTTGTCTAAGGCCTTTTCAAAAAAAATACTTTAAAAAATCCACGCCTTGTCTAAGGCCTTTTCAAAAAAATACTTTAAAAAATCCATGCCTTGTCTAAGGCCTTTTCAAAAAAATACTTTAAAAAATCCGAAAAATACTTTAAAAAATCCCCGCCTTGTCTAAGGCCTTTTCAAAAAAAATACTTTAAAAAATCCACGCCTTGTCTAAGGCCTTTTCAAAAAAAGGCCTTTTTAAAAAATCCGAAAAATACTTTAAAAAATCCCCGCCTTGTCTAAGGCCTTTTCAAAAAAAATACTTTAAAAAATCCACGCCTTGTCTAAGGCCTTTTCAAAAAAAGGCCTTTTTAAAAAATCCCCGCCTTGTCTAAGGCCTTTTCAAAAAAATACTTTAAAAAATCCACGCCTTGTCTAAGGCCTTTTCAAAAAAATACTTTAAAAAATCCGAAAAATAATTTAAAAAATCCCCGCCTTGTCTAAGGCCTTTTCAAAAATATTCTTTAAAAAATCCACCCCTTGTCTAAGGTGCTTTCAAAAATTTTCTTTAAAAAAATCCACACCTTGTCTAAGGTGCTTTCAAAAATATTCTTTAAAAAATCCACGATCTATCTAAGGCTCTAGAAAAATATTCTTTAAAAAATCCACGCTTTGTCTAAGGCCTATTGAAAAATATTCTTTAAAAAATCCACGCTTTGTCTAAAGCCTATTCAAAAATATTATTTAAAAAATCCACGCTTTGTCTAAAGCCTATTCAAAAATATTCTTTAAAAATCTACGCTTTGTCTAAGGCCTTTTCAAAAAAATACTTTAAAAATCCACGCCTTGTCTAAGGCCTTTTCAAAAACATTCTTTAAAAAATCCACGCCTTGTCTAAGGCCTTTTCGAAAAATATTCTTTAAAAAATCCACGCCTTGTCTAAGGCCTTTTCGAAAAATATTCTTTAAAAAATCCACGCCTTGTCTAAGGCCTTTTCGAAAAATATTCTTTAAAAAATCCACGCATTGTCTAAGGCCTTTTCAAAAAAATACTTTAAAAAATCCACGCCTTATCTAAAGCGTTTTTAAAAAATACTTTAAAAAATCCACGCCTTATCTAAAGCGTTTTTAAAAAATACTTTAAAAAATCCGCGCCTTGTCTGAGGCCTTTTCAAAAAAATACTTCAAAAAATCCACGCCTTGTCTAAGGCCTTTTCAAAAAAATACTTTAAAAAATCCACGCCTTGTCTAAGGCCTTTTCAAAAAAAATTTTAAAAAATCCGCGCCTTGTCTGAGGCCTTTTCAAAAAAATACTTCAAAAAATCCACGCCTTGGTAAGGCCTTTTCAAAAAAATACTTTAAAAAATCCACGCCTTGTCTAAGGCCTTTTCAAAAAAATACTTTAAAAAATCCACGCCTTGTCTAAGGCCTTTTCAAAAAAATACTTTAAAAAATCCGAAAAATACTTTAAAAAATCCCCGCCTTATCTAAGGCCTTTTCAAAAAAATACTTTAAAAAATCCACGCCTTGTGTAATGCCTTTTCAAAAAAAATACTTTAAAAAATCCAAGCCTTGTATAATGCCTTTTCAAAAATATTCTTTAAAAAATCCACGTCTTGTCTAAGGCCTTTTCAAAAAAAATACTTTAAAAAATCCACGCCTTGTCTAAGGCCTTTTCAAAAAAATACTTTAAAAAATCCACGCCTTGTCTAAGGCCTTTTCAAAAAAATACTTTAAAAAATCCGAAAAATACTTTAAAAAATCCCCGCCTTGTCTAAGGCCTTTTCAAAAAAAATACTTTAAAAAATCCACGCCTTGTCTAAGGCCTTTTCAAAAAAAGGCCTTTTTAAAAAATCCGAAAAATACTTTAAAAAATCCCCGCCTTGTCTAAGGCCTTTTCAAAAAAAATACTTTAAAAAATCCACGCCTTGTCTAAGGCCTTTTCAAAAAAAGGCCTTTTTAAAAAATCCCCGCCTTGTCTAAGGCCTTTTCAAAAAAATACTTTAAAAAATCCACGCCTTGTCTAAGGCCTTTTCAAAAAAATACTTTAAAAAATCCGAAAAATAATTTAAAAAATCCCCGCCTTGTCTAAGGCCTTTTCAAAAATATTCTTTAAAAAATCCACCCCTTGTCTAAGGTGCTTTCAAAAATTTTCTTTAAAAAAATCCACACCTTGTCTAAGGTGCTTTCAAAAATATTCTTTAAAAAATCCACGATCTATCTAAGGCTCTAGAAAAATATTCTTTAAAAAATCCACGCTTTGTCTAAGGCCTATTGAAAAATATTCTTTAAAAAATCCACGCTTTGTCTAAAGCCTATTCAAAAATATTATTTAAAAAATCCACGCTTTGTCTAAAGCCTATTCAAAAATATTCTTTAAAAATCTACGCTTTGTCTAAGGCCTTTTCAAAAAAATACTTTAAAAATCCACGCCTTGTCTAAGGCCTTTTCAAAAACATTCTTTAAAAAATCCACGCCTTGTCTAAGGCCTTTTCGAACAATATTCTTTAAAAAATCCACGCCTTGTCTAAGGCCTTTTCGAAAAATATTCTTTAAAAAATCCACGCCTTGTCTAAGGCCTTTTCGAAAAATATTCTTTAAAAAATCCACGCCTTGTCTAAGGCCTTTTCGAAAAATATTCTTTAAAAAATCCACGCCTTGATATGGCCTTGAAAAAATATTCACGCCTACAGAGATCTATGATAAAATGTTTTTAAAAGTTGCACTCTCTTTGAGAGAAATTTTTAAATACTGATTGATATTATAACAACTAAATGTAACGTCTTTTTCGATTCAGAAAAACAAATATTTAATTTCCAATGAATTATCGAAATTACATTCATTATTTCACCTCTTTGCTATCCACTACGTGCTCGACAATGCTTTGTATGCTCCAACTGCAAGCAACACAACCCCTTTTGTCACTCGTTGGTTTTTCTCTTAACCCCCCGGCTCAACGAAAAAAATTCATAATTTCAAACGAAACGAAATTCTCCGTTTGTTTATCAAAGTTTTGATAAGCAAAGAACGAACAACAATAACAACAACCAAATTCTAGCAATAGAACAACACAAACCCCACTCACGCAAAAAACGAAAAAAACGAAAAAAATAAAACAAAAACTAAAAAGTATTATTAACAATTTCCAATGGGTGGTGAGTGTTGCGGTATGGTCGTTGTCGGTCGCTCAGTTCGGTTAAAATAATGGTAACGTGAGCATGGCTATTATGCCACCTAGCCGTGTTAATTAAGAACGCTAATATGTGCCGCGACACTATGTGGAGTTTTTGTTTGACTAAACAACAATAAAATAATATAAAGTCGGAAATAAACAACAACAATAGTAATAACAACAACAACAACGAGAGAAAAATAATATTTATGAATCAAATGAAATAAGAATTAAAAAATAAAAATAGAAGCAAAATGTGTGAATTATATAAATTTGTGATATTTTTTTACATAATTTGTTTAAATGTGGTTGTAATTAAATCAGGTGTGTGTTTGTGTGATTGAATTTGATTTTTATTATGAAAAAAATAAATTTTATTATAAAATTTAAAATAATAAAAAAATATGTTGGTGCTTTTGTTTTCATTCATATTCAGATAACCCTTGCATGTTCGAGGATACCTGTGAACGATGTTTAAGTGCTGACATATCCTGCGCTTGGTGCACGGATAAGGTAATAGTGAAGTGACAACTGAATGTGGTATGATAAGTCGGATGAAAAATGAAGTGAAATAAAAATTTTAGCCCGGTAAAAACACCTTAAAATATATTGAAAGTTGATAAGCAAAAGAAATCAAAAGTGTATATAGACGAAAACCGGGAACAAATTATTTTCAATATCAACACCCGATTTTAATTCATAAAATTTAACATTTCGTAGCGATAAAGAAAATTATGACGTTGGTATATATCAACCAGTGAGCGGAGCAGTATAGTCGGACGGAGCCGACCATATGATACCCTACACAACTTCCACGAAAATCTATCTTTCTGTGATTCCATATTCTGAGCTTGGGCAATATTTCGTGATATTTGCACCTTTAGACCGACTAGAGGTCAATAAATATGACTAATATTCAGCAAATCTAATTACTTGTTCAGATTCCCTTCCCCGTCGATATAGTTGTGATGTTCGGAGACTCAAAAAAACATAAAAAAGTTTTCGTTTCACTTCATCTCAATATTATTATCTGAACATCATCGAAAATTATAGGCGTTGTCATTGACCGTACCTGGATCCTAATGGAAAATTTCAAAGCGAACAGCGCTATATTTCCGCCCTCTAGTGTGGTAATAGGTTACAAAATAATATATGAATACGTAAGCACCTCTAAATATTTAAGAGCAATTCCCACATCCGAGTACCTAGGACAATATAATTGGTATCAATGTAAAGGACAACTACTCCTCTTGGATATACTATCAACTTCTCGAGTCATTTCATCTTTACCAAAAACAATAGTCTTCATTGGCCAGAACCCATCATACATGCAAAATTTCGTGAAGATTGGTCCACAACTGTGGCCTGTATCGTATTTACAAATTATAATGGACAGACGGACTCAGCTAGTCGATATGACAATCGGTTTACTTAAAGGTGAGTCTAGGACAAATATTTCGCTGTGTTACAAACTCTTGGAGCTGCACAAAGCTATAATACCCTGACAACATAGTTGTGTATAATAATATTTTTCAGGAACCAACAGAAACGTGGTTTATTCAGTGATTCAATGAATGGTAACACTAGGACAATTGTTTCAAAAAAAAAAAACATTTTTTCAGGGGCAAACAGAAACTGTCTTTTTCAAGGACAAAAATCAACGCGAATTTTGTTAAGCATAATTTGTATGAAGTTCTATTTTTCAAAGACCGAAAGAAATGTAAATTTCGGGTTCTTGGAATGCGAAAAATGTCAACTCTTTTCTCGGCTGATCTGACATTCCGTATTCTTAGAGGGTAAAACATGTCTGCAGACAATTGTTGATATATGCTTTAACCCATTGACATAGGACGATGGGGTAAAAGTAATTGGAGGCGATCGAAACTTACAAATATCGATTTCTCGTCTTTAGGGATCCTATATAAAGTCTTTTGAGGGACTTTTTTTAACTGTATTTGGATTTCAAAAAATGTCGTCTTGTGGTAATAACTTTAAAGACGAAGAACACGTACGAGGACTTAATATAGAAAAATATTCCTCGTATTGTCTAGAAACATCAACATTTATAGCCAAAAGAAGACCATCACCACGCCTCAGTTGGTGATGAAATTTGGAAGAAATTTTCATTAAAAATCGACGCCTCAGTTATTGATGGTCTTGGAAGAAATTTTCCTTAAAAATCGACGCCTCAGTTGGTGGTGGTCTTGGAAGAAATTTTTCTTAAAAATCGACTCCTCTGTTGGTGATGATCTTGGAAGAAATTTTCTTTAAAAATCGACGCCTCAGTTGGTGATAGTCTTGGAAGAAATTTTCTTTAAAAATCGACGCCTCAGTTGGTGACGGTCTTGGAAGAAATTTTTCTTAAAAATCTACGCCTCAGTAGGTGATGATCTTGGAAGAAATTTTCTTTAAAAATCGACGCCTCAGTTGGTGATAGTCTTGGAAGAAATTTTCTTTAAAAATCGACGCCTCAGTTGGTGATGGACTTGGAAGAAATTTTTCTTAAAAATCGACGCCTCAGTTGGTGATGATCTTGGAAGAAATATTCTTTAAAAATCCACGCCTGATTTGGTGATGGTCTTGGAAGAAAATTTCTTTAAAAAAATTTGAAGAACCAAAATCCATCCAATTTTTTTTTTCTATCGTCTAAAATGTATAGTAATATAATAGTAGGGAGTAAATAACTGTTACAACCCGCCTAATTTGGTCACACGTAAAATACGCAAGACCTGGATCTTTAGGTATTTTCTTAGGTTTCGTAAACGTGACAGTGTTCATCCGGTAGATGCCACTATGCCTTGAATCCATGTAGGTGAAGAGGTCCTCACGTCTTTCCCGACGACTTGTATTACAATTTTCCCAGCCCGATTTACTCTCACACGCTTTTAAAAACGTCCGCCCGTCCGTCTGGGCGGCTGGTACGCACGATAACTTTCAAAGGAAGTAACCGATTTCATCCAAACTTTGCACCGTAATATTTCTGTCAAACTAAGTTCAAAAAAATATGGGGAATATCGGTACACTCCTCCCCCACAAAATGGTCTAAATTGTGAAAAAATCGAATATTAAGCTATTATTTTTACCAAGCTTAGATCAAGTTCGAAGATGGTATCCATTGGTCTACTTCTTTTAGTACCTCTCCCACAAACGGACAAAATATTCAATATTTATAAATCCTATTTCAGGGGAATGGAATGTCCGAATTGTACAAACTTAGCACAACCTATTATCTTTACCAAGCCTAAATCAATTCCGAAGATGGGATCCATTGGGCCACTTCTTATTGTATCTGCCTCTCACAAAGGTAAAGGGTAAAATCTGATTTCACATTTGTAATAAGTGGCCATAGTGTGTTTAAAAATAATTTGATTAATTCAACTTTTGATAAAATCAACGGCCGTTTTCGATTCACCCTATTAAATTGTGACATTTTTCTTGCAGAATAGTAAACAGCGTCCTCGAACCCCGTATATGTGATATTTACTTATCTCATAAACCCACTGACCACATCTCTGGATTTCTAGCCCATACACTATTTTATTATTAAGAATATTTTTGAGGACGAACAACCATCGATTTTATAAAGATTTTCTTACTAGAGCGTATTTTTCAAAGAATATTTGATTAAAGAACCAACAAGCGCGATTTATAGAATATTTTTCCAAAAACCAACAGAAGATTTTAGTAGAACATTTTTGTAATTAGCAATGTTGGGAATCTGAAAAAAATCCACGTTGGCCCGATTTATTGGAAAAAAATTATGTTGGACTTTTAGTCTCTAAGATGTTCACGCAAGGGTCTGCTGGTCTCAGAAATATCCTATAATGTCCGTATTAATATCATTTAGGACGAAATATATTCAACAAAGGTATATTCGTTAAATATTCCGCAGCGTATTTCAGTACCACAATATGTGTCTTGTTCGAACATATCATCGTTTTATTTGTTATATCATAAAATGAATTCTTACAATTTTGTTAACGTTTTGGTATAGCCACTATATAAAGGTCGGATTCCAATTTAAGTAAGGGAATTTTCATACCTAAGTGGCTGTAACTTGTCATATCTTGGCATATAATTCGAGGCTGGAAAAACATCTGCGCTCTTCCCGTCCATTGGAATCGGAATTTTTAATGGAGGTTAATTATATCCTTCACTGTGGTACAGGGTATTATGTCTTTGTGCATATGTTTGTAACAGGCAAAAGGAATCGAGATAGACCCATGGTTCCTTTTGAGAATATGCATAGAATCACTTTCTGAGTCGATTTATGCATGTGCGTCCGTATGTCCGTCTGTCTGTCCATGTTAAATTGTAAACAAAGTACAGGTCGCATTTATGATCCGAATTGGATGAAATTTGGCATAGGTCACTTATTTGGCCCAAGGACGAATCCTATTGAAATTGGGAAAAATCGGATTTCGTCCGATTTAATGTATATGGTGTACCAAAGTCCCTATATATCTTTCGATTTGCACGAAATTTGGCATAGCGTAATGAATAGGGTCTATAATGATGTGTGTTAAGTTTCCTGAAAATCAGTCCAGATTTAGATATAGCTCCAATATATATTTTCGCCCGATTTAAGGTAAATGGTGCACCAAAGTCCCTATATATCTTTTGATTGGTGCGAAATTTGGCACAGCGTACTGTATTGAGACTATAATGATGTCTGCCAAGTTTTCTGAAAATCGGTTCAGTTTTAGATATAGCTCCCATATATATTTTCGTCCAATTTAATGTAAATGGTGTACCAAAGTCCCTATATATATATATATATCTTTCGATTTGCACGAAATTTGGCATAGCGTAATGAATAAGGTCTAGAATGAAGTGTGTTAAGTTTCTGCAAAACCGGTATAGATATAGTTCCCATATATATTTTCGTCCGATTTAATGCAAATGGTGTACCAAAGTCCCTTCCGATTTCATCGAAATTTGGTATAGCGTAATTAATTAGGTCTAGAATGATGTGTGTTAAGTTTCCTACTTTCCTTCCTGCCTTTTTTTGTTTTGTTTTTCGAGAACTTTTTCGATAAAGTAGTAGTGCTTGCCCTCATTATCCCGCATTATCCAATCGAATTGGCTATAATTAGGTATTCCAGATTTCTATTTAACCAAACAACTTCTTGCCAGAAAATATTCATATGTTTTTTACATAACTTCCAGCCCAGTATTCAAAATCTGATTTTCTGAAATTTGGTATTTTATTTTCTCCGATCCTATATAGATTTTTAAAGACATAGTCCTCATATAAAGGTCTCAACTCAACTCAACTTTTTACTGTCAAGTCTAAATATTAAATTCACAATAATGGATTTTGACAGCAAACTTGAGAGGCAGCTGATACGCTGCAGTACGAGACATTGGTCCCAACTAATGTTTGGCCCGGCCGAACCTAATCCCTTTTTACTTTATTGATTATGCTGGAGTTCAAAACTTTCTCGCGGAGGTATAAACCAAATTTTTGTTTCTGAGTTATCAGGAGTAGAGTTCGATTGTATACATGTGTCAAGTTAATAACTCTGTTTACATTGAATTTTTGTCACCGACTTATCATACCACTATCCTCGTGCAATACCACATTTCGCCATCGATTGATATCGTAATCACCGAACAAACCTAACATTTGATCTAATCTAACAGCTATTTGAGTTACGTTATCGCTGCCTTAATCGCACCCAACTATTAGAGCATGGCTGTCGACCTGATTTTATTTACGAAAATGAACCGGAGTTTCACACTCTCATCGATGCACCCCTTAAGGATTATGAGTTGAGCAATAATCGAGCGGTGCAAGTACAGCCGCAACGGGTCTACGTGAAGTTGGTGAAATGTAAGTAAAAGTAATTTGGAACAATATATACAATATAAATATATACATATTTTTCTCAGAATATAGAATTTTTTTGAAGTGCAATTTTATTGTATAGATTTTTTTTTATTCATAAATTGTAAAGGTTTTAGAATTTTTTTAATAAAAATCATGCATTTGAGGTCTGAGGTACTATTTAAAACAAATAACAATAAAACAATGAATGTAAATTGCTTTGTTGATTGACACCGTCAGTCAGTCCGTCCGTCAGTCGTCACTTTGGCTATAAATCATCAATAAATAAAAAAAATCATTTGCCCACACCATCATTATGAGTCAATGAATAGAATGACTGTTCATTGCAAAGACGTGCAGCCGGTCGGTCGCTAATTACAAAAATACATAATTCGATATATTTTTAATTATGAAATTGTTGTTGTCTTTTTTATAGAAAATTTGTATTTCGAAATTGCAAAATACCTAAGTTTACTCTCTTTTTCAAACAAATGAGGCTCAGCTCTAGGGGAATTTGTAGATAAGACCCCTAGAATGTTATCTAATATTTTTTTGTTGGTTTGGTTCGGAGGAGCTACCTTGTTATGTAGTATTTGCTGATAGTAGTTGTTGTATAGATTTTATTTACGGTAGGTTGTTATCAGAGTTAGTTTTTCGGGGGTGCTATAGTCCCACTTTTTATTCAGTTATTCTACCTTCTTTTTTATAGAAATGAGGTTTGTTTTGGATCGAGTTCCTATGTCTATTTATTTGTTATTGTTGTTATTTGTATTTCTGTTGTTGTCGGTTAAAACAATACCTACCGTTCCATTCCGTTGCCATGTCTGACTGTTCGTGTTCATGTTCTTGTCATTCTCAATGTTGTGTTTTATTGTTGTCGTTGTTGTTGATGATCAGAGAGCTGAGATTGTGCGGTATTTATGTCACCTATTAATTTGACATTTGTTTGTTTACATTTCTGATTAAGTTGGATATAATTTTGACACTTCTTTTTTTGTTTTGTTTTGATTATTGTTTTGAATCACACATAGAAACGATGTTTGTAATAGGGAGCTGATGAGAGGGACGGGAAGGGGGTCTAGAAATGTAGCAAATAATTACCATGATTAGAAATCTTATCAGATAATGAGAAAAAAGTGTAGTAAGCATTTTTTGTTAATTAATGTACATATGTGGAAGATTTGTATTCATTAAGGGGAAATGTTGGGGTTATTAAATGTTTCTTTTTGCAAATTATAAAAAAATGGACCTGCGGAACTATGCGAATTTTAATAAATTCAAGCCTTGGTAGGTTATTAAAAATATTTTTTACTAAATCCCCCAAGTTTCGGAAGGTCTATAAACATTTTCCTTAAAATATTATTTTTAAATCCACAGTCCCTAGTGATCCTTGAAAAAATATATGGTCTGTTTCCGTACTGCAAGAACCTACTAGATTTTACTATTTCTTTCGATATCATAAAGGAAAATTCGTTATCGTAGTAAAAAGTTGTAGATTCTTGCAGTTCGGGAACAGACCGATATTATAAAAAAGTTCTTGCCTCCAATGGTTTTAAAAAAAATATTTTTAAACAATCCAGGTTGAGAATGGTCTAGAAAATAAATAGTAAATATTTTATTTTTAATATCCAAGCACCGAATGATCTTGGAAAGAATGTGTTTTAAAACATCCAAACATAAATTTGGCCTAGAATATTTTTTAAACAACCAAGTCCTGAAAAAAATATTTTTTAAATAATCCACGCTTTGAATGGTCCTTAAAAAAATTTTCTTTAAAATATCCACGCTTTGAATGGTCCTTAAAAATTTTTTCTTTAAAAAATCCACGCTTTGAATGGTCCTTAAAAAATTTTTCTTTAAAAAATCCACGCTTCTTGGTCGGATGGTCCTTACAAAATTGTTCTTTAAAAATCCACGCTTTGAATGGTCCATAATAAATCCACGCTTCTTGGTCGGATGGTCCTTACAAAATTTTTCTTTAAAAAATCCATGCTTTGAATGGTCCTTAAAAGTCCTCGCTTCTTGGTCGAATGGTCCTTACAAAATTTTTCTTTAAAAAATCCACGCATTAAAAAATCCACGCTTCTTGGTCGGATGGTCCTTAAAAAAATTTTCTTTAAAAAATCCACGCTCCCTGGTCGGATGGTCCTTAAAAAAATTTTCTTTAAAAAATCCACGCTTCTTGGTCGGATGGTCCTTAAAAAAATTTTCTTTAAAAAATCCACGCTCCTTGGTCGGATGGTCCTTAAAAAAATTTTCTTTAAAAAATTTTTCTTTAAAAAATCCGCGCTTCTTGGTCGGGTGGTCCTCTTTAAAAAATCCACGCTTCTTGGTCGGATGGTCCTCAAACAATTTTTCTTTAAAAACACACTTTAAACCAGTGATCGGATCAGTAAAGTCGGACGGGGCCGACCATATGATATCCTACATAACTATCACGATGTTCGGACCATCCCGTAAATATTAATCGATCTTTACCAAAAACAATAGGGGTCTCCATTGGGCAGAACATGCAAAATTTCGAGAAGATTGGTCCATAACTGTGGCATGTATCGTGTTTACAAATTATAATGGACAGACGGACACACATGTATTGATCGTCGAGATATGACGATCGGTATACTTAAAGGTGGGTCAAAGCTATATTATAGCCCTGACAACATAGTTGTGTAGGGTATAAAAATCCACATTTTTAATAGTCAGTGAAAAATATTTTTTTGTAATCATCGCCTTAAGTAGCCTTTAAAAATTCTGCGCCTCGAATAATCCTTGAAAAATTTTTCTTTAAAAAATGCGACCTTTAAAAAAAAATAAAATATCTGCGCTTCAAATAGTCCTTAAAAAGAATTGCCCTCAATCCTTGAAAATACATTCTATAAAAAATACACTCCTCAGATAGCCTTTAAAATATTCATTAAAAAATGTACGCCTTAGATAGCCTTTGAAAACTATTTTTTAAAAAAAGTGCGCCACAAATAGTCCTTGAAAAAATATTCTTTAAAAAATCCACGCCTCTGTTGGTCCTTGTAAAAACATTCTATAAAAAATCCACGCCTCAGATAGTCCCTGAAAATATTTTTTAAAAATCCTTGCCTCAGTAGTACTTGAAATTTTTTTTAAATTCTGCGCCTCAAATAGTCCTTGAAAATTTTTTTTTTTAAATCCCCGCCTTTATTGATCCTCATTTGTTTTTAATACCGACCCTTTATTGACCCTTCAAAATATGTTTATTTAAACGACGGGTCTATTGGCCATCAAAAGTTAAGACTCCTCGTTTTGAAAATAATGTCTTATATTTCCATCCTTTATTTCAGCTCACCCGGAACGCATCAAACTCTCCTATCGTCCAGCACGCAATAATCCCTTAGACTTATACGTACTTATGGATCTCACCTGGACAATGAAAGATGATCGTGAAACACTAGTCAAACTCGGCTACGAGTTAGCAACCACGCTACGGAACCTAACCTCCAACTATCGTTTGGGTTTTGGCAGCTTTGCCGATAAACCAGAAATGCCAATGATAATGCCACAGCTGAAAGAAAACCCCTGTGCCAAAGAGCGTCAAGTATGTGAACCCACCTATGGTTACCGGCATCATTTAGCCCTAACGGAGGATGAAAAACGTTTTGTTAGTTCGGTTAATGCGAGTAAAGTTACGGGAAATCTGGATAATCTTGAGGGTGGTCTAGATGCCCTTATGCAAGTTTTGGTGTGCCCAAAGGAAATCGGTTGGAAGGAAGAGGCCCGTAAAGTGGTTATTTTGGTTACGGATGGTTTTATGCATTTTGCCGGTGATGGTCTACTGGCCGGAATAACCAAGAAGAATGACAAAAAATGTCATTTGAATAGTGAGGGAGAATATTTGGGTTCATTAGTCTATGATTACCCATCGTTGGAGGAAATCTATCGTGAGCTATTGAAACGGAAGATAAGTGTCATCTTTGCGGTGACGGAAGATGTAGTGCCGACATATCGGGAATTTAGTTCGCTGATGAAGGAAATCAGTAATGTGGAGATATTGAGTGCCGATTCATCGAATATTTTGGAATTGATTAAGAAGAGGTAAGAAGAGACCATGGAGAGGAGGAAGAATGTAGAATGGATCCTATTCTGGGTTAGACTGTGGTCTAGACGAATGGAATTTTTTCGATAAGAGTCTAGAAATATATTAATCGCCTCCAGGCCAAATCAGAAGTTCTTATTTCGAAATCAAATAAATCGATGTACTAGAGCTTGAGATTTTAATTAAATCCTTCCCTTTGCAGTTATGAAAGTTTTATCAAGAGAACCCAGTTTTCGGACAACAGCCCCGATTTCATAAAAGTGGAATATGAAACAGATTGTGGTGGCCAATTCCCAACGCTGGTGAAACGCAATTACTGCAACGATGTGGCCCAGGGCACCACTGTCGATTTTTATATCAACTTGACCCTAACAGATTTTCCCAAAAATGGGGTCTATGTAAGTGCTCGAACTTTCAATTAATTATTTGGGTTAATTATTTGTTACTTGATTTTTCAGAATCACAAAATCCGCATTGAGGAGTCCGCTTTAAATGACTTCATGGAAATTGAGGTCGAAATTCAAAAACCCTGCCCCTGTGTCGAGGAAGCTGATCCCAATGATGAATACTCACGTTTTCAGTGTAATGAAAATGGTTATCTGCAGTGTGGCATGTGCCAGTGTGATGCAGCATGGTAAGATTATCGAAACGATATTGACCCTTGAAAAATATTCCTTAAAAAATCCACGTCTCTTATTGACCCTTGAAAAATATTCTTTAAAAAATCCACGCCTCTTATTGACCCTTGAAAAAATATTCTTTAAAAAATCTACGCCTCTTATTGACCCTTGAAAAAATATTCTTTAAAAAATCCACGCCTCTTATTGACCTTTGAAAAAATATTCTTTAAAAAATCCACGCCTCTTATTGACCCTTGAAAAAATATTCTTTAAAAAATCCACGCCTCTTATTGACCCTTGAAAAAATATTCTTTAAAAAATCCACGCCTCTTATTGACCCTTGAAAAAATATTCTTTAAAAAATCCACGCCTCTTATTGACCCTTGAAAAAATATTCTTTAAAAAATCCACGCCTCTTATTGACCCTTGAAAAAATATTCTTTAAAAAATCCACGCCTCTTATTGACCCTTGAAAAATATTCTTTAAAAAATCCACGTCTCTTATTGACCCTTTAAAAATATCCTTTAAAAAATCCACGCCTCTTATTGACCCTTGAAAAATATCCTTTAAAAAATCCACGACTCTTATTGACCCTTGAAAAATAATCTTTAAAAAATCGACAATTTTATTTTTAGGACCGGAACATTTTGTACCTGCCCCACGGACGCCACAAATGCCACCAGCACCGATGCCATTGAACGTCTGTGTCGTAAACCCTACGATACTTTACACCCAGAAGATCTGGGTCCTGTGTGTTCGAATCGTGGTGAATGTGATTGTGGAACCTGTTATTGTTTCCCTGGATATGAGGGCAAATTTTGTGAATGCCCGGAATGTGATGTCGATTGTGATCTGGAGCGGGCGGAATGTGTCTGCGGTCAGTGTGTGTGTAAATATGGTTGGTCTGGCAATCGGTGTAATTGTAAAGAGAGTACAGATGGATGTATTGGACCAATGGGTGAAATATGTTCGGATCGGGGATATTGTGAATGTGGCAGTTGTGTCTGCGACGAACCATATGTGGGCAGATTTTGTGAAATCGGTTCGGAGACCGATAATAAATTTTGTACATTCTTTGAGCCATGTGTTAGCTGTTTGATTGAGGAGAAGACGGCAACGGGTAGGTGTGGCAATGTAACGGATATTTGTGGGAAGTTGGAGAAACATGAAAGGTTTACCACGGTTTATGTCAATGAGGAGTTGGGTAAGTACCACCATAGCAGAAATTTAAGATCCATATTCACAATTTTTTTATTTCTTTTCAGATATCGAAAATCGCTGCTTGGCCCGCGTGGAAAATGAATTTGGCATTAAATGTGATCATTATTTCACTTATAAAATAATGGATCACTTGGAAAATTATCTGCTAATACAAATCAATACTTGTGAACCGCTGAATTATATGGCTGTTATTGGTTTCGTATCGGTGGCCACATTTATTTTAGGCCTCATTATCATCTGCATTATATGGGGTTGTATACGGGCCAAAGATGCCCGAGAATATGCCCGTTTCGAGGCAGATAAGAAAAATAGTTATTTGATGGAAAGTCCCATCTATAAGGATCCAGTTCGAAAGTATGTTGTACCCAAAGAAATTAATCGCAAACAAAGCAATCCATTTTTGTAGTTAAGAGAACAAATATTAATTAGATTTTAAGGAATTAAAAAAAATGAAATGACAATAAGTATTTAATAAAGTATTTGTATGAAGATGTGTATTATATTTGCCACTCAAAATAATTGTATTAAGTTTTCATTTATTGTAAGACGAGAAATAAATAAAACAACGCTTTTTTTGTTCGTCGGTACTGCCTACGGATATATACCCACAGCCTAGGTCTACGAAATTATACGCAGTTTTTTTTTATTAAGGTATGTATTTTTTATCAAAGAGTGTACCATCTGTAGAGAGCTATCAGAGAAGGTTGCCCTATAGACTCCATCATTAGATCTAAATTAGGTTTCGTAAAATATTACGATCATTACCCATTAAAAAGTTATAAAGAAATTGACGGTGATTTTTTTTAACAGGGCAACACTGGCAAACACTTGTGGGCACCGCCATCTATTGCATGAGTAGATACAAAAACCAATCATCCAAAATGAAATGTACATAATTGTTCGTCATAACTTTTGACCTATTGTCATATGAAAGGTAACATTTTATAGTTTCAGTATTCAATATTTTACATTTTGATTTTGAATTGTAGTATTGAATTTTCCTTTAATACAAATCATTCGCTGCTCGTAGTAAAGTAGACTATTTACACATTCATATGACAACAATTTTGTAGAGATGCAATTATCCATTCAAGAGTTATACGCTTCGAATGTTGGACTCGAAAAACATATGTGTCTGATTTCAATCATATCCATCAATAGATGGCGCTGACGGCGCAATGTTATAATATGCATACCTCATTTCTTTTCGCCATAGTTTTTTTTCTTATTGCAGATAAATTATATTAAAGTAGTTCAACATGCAAGGTTTGATTTGTCTCTGTATAGTTACGCGTTCAAAAGTTATGAAGAATCCCACAAAACTGTAATTTTCTATTGACCCTTTGTGCCCCGATTTTTTCTGTAATCATTCATTCTTTCTGAAAAATAAAAGTCCAATATCAAGAAAACCAATTGCAAAATCGACGGACAAATAATTTTAAATGATTCTCTATATTCTTTTTTACATGAATCAAAAATAGTTCTGTTGGCAGAACTCATACAATTCGAATACGTACCGATTTAAATAATTTGGACTGTATGAATAAATTAGTACTGTACATATTTTGCTCTCTTCTCTATATTGAAAATAGGAAGTAACAAGAATAGGTAGTAACAAGAAATAAAACAAGTGAAAAAGCGTTATGTTCGGCCGGGCTGAACTTTGGATACCCTCCACCATAGTTATACTGACAGATTCATGCAATGAAAATATAGGGAACATACCAAAAATTGGGCATATACCGCTAATTCTACAAACCGATTTATGTAAACCATTATGTACACCAAATACAAACTTCATCAATTTTTAATGGGAATTTGTCCTAAAATCTGTAAGATCCAAAAAGTGGACTGATACTGATAACGCATGGTAGATTATAAAATCCTCAAACTACTGTAATTTAGATTACAAAGGGTATGCCTAAAGGGGGACAAATATTGATTACAAAGTGTAGGAAATAATGAATATTTGGAGATATCATTATATGACGGCTATGCCTAATTAATGACTGGTATATACCAATTTGAACCCAATATTTTAATTGTTTATGTCATTTCTTTCCTTCAGGAGGTATCACTATATTGAGGAGATGCCTAAATGTCTACCGATATATTTCATTAACGTCATATTTCACAATATCTTTAGAAGGCGGAATGCTTACAACAGATGGCTAAATAGTCTTTGTAGGGTAAAAATTGACGATTCCCCGTAACGACTACCCAACCGCAACACACGGAACAAATCAGATAACTATTTTAATATAAAAAAGGGGGTTATATGGGGATTACCCTTAAAAAGGGGTGAATATTAATAATTTTTGGTGGGGAGATTTGTTACCATATACGACTACAAAATACCGAATTTCAGCGAATTCGGTTGAAAAATGCGCTCAAGAACCTCAAAATACCGAAAATTTGGGGGTACGCTTATATGGGAGCTATGCCTAAACGTGGACCGATATATCCCATCTTCGAACTTGAACTACCTGCAGACAAAAGACGACTCTGTGCAAAATTTTGGCGATCTATCTAAACTCGTTTAGACGCTAGAGTGATTACAACAGACGGACGGACATGCTTAGATCGTCTTTGAATTTTACGCTGATCAAGAATATATATACTTTATAGGGTCGGAAATGATTATTTCGATGAGTTACAAACGGAAAAACAAAATCAATATACCCTCCATACTATGGTGGAGGGTATAAAAAAGCAAAAGATTTTGGTTTGGCAACTCCGTTCAAATACTAACGAGAGCATAATTTTAGATGTGTCTATAATTTTTTTTCGGTCTATTTCCTTGGTATTAAATTCTGCGCGCCTGGCATTTATCAGAAATTTCAACGAAAAAGTGAATAATGTTCATGTACGTCAGGCGATGACGTCATATTTCAGAGGGTGAGAATATAGGGATGGGTTTTTAAGAAATATTTTCTGGAGGGCGTTTGTAAGACGTTGATTTTAAATGAATATTTTCAGGAGATGTTTCTAAGGCGTGGATGGATTTGTAGAATAATATTTTCTGGGGGGGTTTGTAAAGCCTGGATGTTCTATATAGCCATGTCCGCATGTCTGTCTGTCTGTTGTAATCACTCTAGCGTCTAAGCGAATGGAGATAGATCGCCAAATCTTTTGTCTGCAGGCAGGTCAAGTTCGAAGATGGGCTTTATCGGTCCACGTTTAGGCATAGCGCCCATATAAGGGTACCCCCCAATTTTCGGTATTTTGAGGTTCTTAAGCGCGTTTTTCAACTGAATTCGCTGAAATTTGGTACATTGAGTTCTTGTTGGGTAGCAGATCTCTCCACTAAAAATTATAAATATGGATCTATATTTACGGATAGCCCCCATATAAGTGTACCCCCAATTTTCGGTATTTTGGGGGGTTTGATCGCATTTTTCGAACGAATTCGCTGAGTACTTTGAGTTCCTATTAGGTAGCAAATCTCTCCACTATAAATTATAAATATAGGTCCATTTTTTCGGGTAGCCCCCATATAAGGGTTCCCGCCAATTTTTCTTTGTAATTTGGTTTTTTGTAGTCGTATATGGTAACAAACCTCCCTCTCAAAAATTATTAATATTCGCCCCGTTTTAGGGGTAGTACACATATAACCCCTTTTTATACCCTTCACCACACTGTGGTACAGGGTATTGTGTCTTTTGTGCATATGTTTGTACCAGAAAAAAATCGAAATAGACCCATGGTTCCTTTTGAGAATATGCATAGAATCACTTTCTGAGTCGATTTTTGCAAGTCCGTCCGTCCGTGCATGTATTTTTGTTAACAAAGTACAGGTTCCATTTATGATCCGATTTGGATGAAATTTGGCACAGGTCACTTAATAGGCCCAAGGACGAACCCTATTGAAATTGGAGAAAGTCGGTTCAGATTTAGATATAGCTCCCGTATATATTTTCGTCCGATTTTAACTTATTGATGCACCAAACTCCCAATAGTGCTCCGATTGAGACAAAATTTTACACAGAGTATTGAATTAGGTCTAGATAGTTATATGCCAAGTTTTGTTCCCTTAAAATGAAACACATTTTGGTATAATTTTCTGTATTTTTGTATTTATTTTCTTCAGTTTATTGTTTACTTATACGTTTTTTTTTCTAAATACTTCTGTCTTACATAAGTAATAAGTTGTGAAACTATCATAACAAAGATATTGGAAATTGTTAGATAAGATATAAAAAAGAATATATTGTATTGGATTGTGGTGTAGGAACAAACATTGGATGGATGGTGGATGGGGAATTGGGAAGTGGATTTGGGTATAAGGATAAAAATGTGTGTTTGTTTAATTGGGTTGTGGACCAGTATGGCAAAAAATGAAACATCTATACAACAAAATATTAACATTTTAAACTACATTTTGTGGCCGTTTGGATCTCCTAGTAGGAGTATATTGAAGATAAACATTTGATGTGGCCAATTAGAAGGGAACGTAACGAAATAAAAAAATATTTTGAAGGCATCTTTGGTTAAAATTGATAAAAACGAATATTCTGGATGGAACGAAGAGGAGGCGGAAAGTTGAAATAAAAATGGTTTTTATTTATTTATTTTTTCTTTTTTTTTTTGTTGGCTTTTGTTCGATTTTTTTACAGCTGGTCCAAATGGTGAGGATTGCAATTATAGAGGAAATGAAAGTAATGTGCGGGAATTATTAATGTGTGTTGGATTAATGTGTTCAATTTGCAACATATACCGACTTAAAAAAAATACAAAAATTATGAAATGTTTTTTGTAGAAAAAATATAACAGAAAATAAAATTGAAAATATAACCCTGATTTGTTGATTTTGCTGATTGTTCAATTAAAGTTATTAATAAACAATTACAACTAAGCCTATAACTATAATTAATATCACTTAAAAATATTTTGCTTTAAAATTTTGTAAAAAAATGTTTGGCAACTAATAATAAAAAAATTAAATCAAAGCTAATTCTTGGAGAATTGCTTTGGCTGCCTCATTCACTTGATGTGGAAAGGATTAATTCGAGAATTGTATTACAGTCAACATCGTTTATAACGACAACGTTTATGACGACATATCGGTTATGACGTCTGTATTTAAAGTCCCGAGAAGGGATTTTCTCATTATTTGATATCGTTTATAACGACATATCGCTTAAAGCGACCTTTTGGGTCGGTTTCTTGACCGTCGTTATAAGTGATTTCGACTGTATATTTAGCCCAGAGTGGAATCAGTTTCCCCATATACCGGAGCTAATGAATCAGTCTCCTGGACCTTAAATACATCAATGATATTCTTTCCCTCTCTTATATGGAAGTCATTTTAAGCACTATTTTTTACATCAAACATTTTTTTCTTTAAATTTTGTATTGATTTCGCCTACCTACAACTAATACTACAAAAATAAAAAAACACTTACTTA